GAAAGAAAGAAAGAAAGAAAGAAAGAAAGAAAGAAAGAAAGAAAGAAAGAAAGAAAGAAAGAAAGAAAGAAAGAAAGAAAGAAAGAAAGAAATTCAGTCTCAAACATTTTTTCAGCAGTTGATTCCATTAATAATTTATAAACTTCATCACTGCCATCAGTTTGTTAATATGTTTACATTCATGAACTTCTGCTCCTTAATAAGCAGAAGCAGCAGCAGCAGCTAGCTGTGGTGCTTCAGATGCTTCCTGGGTCACGTCTAACAGGAACTTTATAAGATTTCTGCCAACTCTGTAGTGTTTGTGTAAAACAAAATGATTATTTTCTCTGTTAGTGGGGTTAAATCATATTTCTGTACCAATTTAATTATAATAATATGAAGCAAAGTCTGATAAAAATAATCACAATAAACTAATTGTGAGGTGAATAATATTAGTGTGTGTGAACGTAGGTGTGGGTAAATGTATGTGTTTCTGCATGACTATTAATACAGATGTGTAGATGTTTGTATAAGTGGACACTAGGGGTGCAACAATACAGAAAATTCATGATTCAGTTCAGTTTGAGACTTTAGTCTCATGTTTCAATACTTTTTCAACAAAAAAGAAAAATGTCCACACCCTTCTTAATTTGTAATTTATTCAAATTAATTCTGAAAATTTGTTTCACCTCAAAGGTACAGTTTTTAAATTCAATTTTTCTGAAACAGCAAGTTTCTCAGTGGATCTGTGCTCCACGATGCAGCCCAGGTGGAGCAGTCGAACACAGATCCACTGATCCTTCAACACAGAGCATCTTCAGAAGACATGTTGATAAAATAAATTTAAAAAATGCTTTTTTCATACAGTTTTTTAATTGTAATATAAATTCAAGTGTACAAACGTTTAGGGAAATAACAACAATAAACAGGTGAAATAACATTTTCAAGGCACAAGACAGAACAGAGCAAACAATAGAAATAAACAAACAAAAAAAATTCATACACATTCACACAGTCGTACAACTACAATCAGAAGTCTTCAAATATTTTCAAATTTTCAAATCCATTCCATAGACTTTGCATTCTTACATTTCATTTGTTTTAAAGCAATTAAATAATGTTCAACAAGATGTTTTTTAAATACATTAAAGATAGGCTTTACCTTTTTCCATTTACAGCAATGAATGAAATATTTTGACATCAGTAAATTGTTTAAACATAGTCTGATTGTGCGTCCTTCAAGTTCAATCCAAATCTTATGTTGTCCAGAGTCAGTGTGTCCTGCAGCTGGATCTTTGTAGAAACCCGTCCAGAAAATCCTCCCAGAAAGTTTTTCTGTAAATACATTGATAAAAAAAGATGATCCTCGTTTCGATGTTGGATTCACAAAAAATACAGTTGTTATGATCAATAATAAATCTCATTCTCAGCATCTCATTGGATGGATAAACTTCATTCAAGATTTTAAAATGCACTTCTTTAACTTTTGGACTTAGAGGAAATTTAAGATAATGATAATTCTCCATTTTTTTAACCTCAGTTTCGGTGGCTTTTTTCATACAGTGTGTGTTGAACAGTTCCATACAGATACATGTATTGTAGCGCCCCTAGTGGACACATTTTTTCCTTAAACATAACCAGCTACAGCTTTTGAAAACTAGAAAATTATGTGAACACTAAGACAGGTGATTGTAAAGTGTATACTTCTTCTTACTGCTGGATTACTCTTCTCAGTGTTTGTTTTTGTGTGTAAATGAACTGGATCTATTATGTGAATGTACACAGAAAATAACTGGCCCCAGGAGAGCCACTGGTTAACAGAACTGTATGACACAAACCTGTGCACCGCCTGGATTGACTGCTGGACTATTACGACTCGATGGATACTAGAGAACTGAAAACTCTTCATCAGCACGACACTAAGAGCCTTTGTTGAGAACTCACTGGGAACAGAAGACAAATCTGAAAAACAATTCAAAGCCAACTGCACAAGTCAGCATCGACTGCAGCATAATCAAGTTGATGCTCCGTCTCAAGTCTTGTTCTGCATTGACAAGTCCCCAAACAGACAGGTCACCTGTTCCACAGTGAAACACTCATCAGTCACCTTCTTTTCATGGATGACGTCAGGTTGTACGCTAAAAATGAGCGAGACATCCACTCCCTGATCCATGTGTGGTCCCACGGTAGAAGACTCGAGCTTAAAGTGAAGTGGAACCGCCCACATGGAGCGCCGAGTCAAAAATGACTTGTTAAAACTTTCACTAGCACATTTCTTATTTTCAAATCAGTTTTTGAGTGTTAAAATGTTATTGTTGTTTAGCTCACTGTTCTTGTAGGGAAGCTTTAGCTGCACTGGAGCGCTAGCGGTTGCTATTGTCTCAGGATGATGACATCATAACATGAGCCGAGCACCAACAGCGAAGGCTGCGTTCCATTCCAAATTACCTAAATGTGAACCTCAACATTTAACGTCAACATTTAAAGTTTAACTTTTACATTTAGATTTAAATATGTAGATTTAGGATTTAATATTTAAATATAATTGAACATTTAGTAAAAATTAGCTAAATGTAAGAACAGTGAACTAAATAATGTTAATGACATTCTTTAACATTTCATTATACACTTGATTAACGCCCCATAGATGAATAAGGTAAGCTGTGTGGTCGACTCAGCGCCTGGGTGTCTAGTGTGATAAAAAAGGGTAAGTTGTATTTATATAAACAATAAGTTTGCCTCATTTGAACAGTTAGCACAGAAATTTGACATCCATAAGTCACAGTTCTTCAGGTATTTACAACTGAGADATTTTGTAATGTCAAACTCTGGATGTTTTCCTCTACGCCCCCCAACTTCTCTTATAGATGAGATTCTGATGTGTAAGTCTGTAACAAAACGCTCTATGAGTACAGTTTATTCTCTGCTCAGCTCATTTTCTGACTCCAATTTAGATTCTTTGAAGGGCAAGTGGGAGATGGACTTGGAGGAATCCATATCAGACACAGTTTGGCAAAAAAATTTTCAAAATATATATTCGTCCTCAATATGTGTGAAACATGTTATTGTTCAATTCAAGGTAGTACATCGCCTACACTGGTCTAAGGACAGATTGTGCAAATTCAAAAGGGACTTGGATCCGACATGTGATCATTGTAAACAATCTCCTGCCACACTTCTGCACCCATTCTGGTCCTGTCCAAAGCTACATGGATACTGGCAAGGCATCTTTGACACCTTTTCAGGATTATTTGGATGAACTGTTCATCCTTCACCATTCATCTCTCTCTTTGGGGTGGCTCCAGCAGA